TTTATACAAACACAAACGCATTTTATACATTTGTGTTTGTATAAAAGCGAGAGAGGCGAGGGAGACTGCCCAACGAGAACGAGAGTGGCGAGCGAGATTCACCAGGAGAGAGGCGAAATAGCAACTGTTTGCTATGGGGTACAATTAAATCAAACTATGGTTATAACATTTAATTTGAATTAATAGTTTGTTATTATATACCATTTTTCCATTTCTTAAAGCCTTTGGGATTTTGGTGTATTTTTGCCATTTATGGCATGACTTTTACATAGTTTCCTTTTTTAGAGTCAAACGATAATAACTTTGACTAACATTTTATGATGTATTTTGATATGCAAAAAATTGAAATTTATAGTACTTTTTGTATAATTATTGACTATCCAGATTTTATGTTTAAAATATTGAATTAATGTAATCGAATTTAACTTTGAAAATTAATCAAATTGACTTTCGAAAAGCGCAACATGACAATTAAAAGTGGATGGATGGAGTATTTTCGTTCTTGAACTATTTACGGTCTTAAAAAAACTTTTTAATTTGATTAATTAAACTTAAATATATTTTTGATCTTGCAACATGAATGAAATTCATCTCTAAATTCTCACCAAATTTAAAGGTGTTTTCAACATTTTTTTCGATTTTTTATTAAGAGTTGTATGCTCCTACAAGAGTTTGAGACCATTTGCTAGGTCATGTGGCAGATCGAGGGTGTATCTAAGTTTAGTTAGTCAAGTATATGTATTTTTAAGGTTGTTAATAGTTTTAATAGTTCGGAAATAGAATTAATAATTTGTGTCAAGTTTAGAGGTATTTTCAATGCTCCTCTCAAAAGTAAAATATATTATTTTTCTCTAGCTCAGTTTATATGATGTAAGTAAATTTGACATGAAATTTAAGAAACAAAATTAATAAAATTTGTGTTGTTTATGATTTTAACCTCCGCATAATGCATTTTGATTATTTCGATCTCAACTTATGATTTGCTCATATATGCCAACTTTGGAAGGTAAGTGATTAGATATTTTTGAATATAATAAATGGAAATGAATCCTACATTTAGAAGGAAAAAAAACTTATTTAGTGAAGGTTTATATAGAATCATTAAATACTCGACTTATTGTCTACCCACAAGGCCACAACTTTTCCAAATAATTGATGATTTTTTCATTTTTAAGTTTTCTGCTCTTGGTATTCATTTTGAATACTGATTAAATGTGATATACTGATATTTGTATTGAATTACACTCATTTCATGGGGAGATGCTTTTAACAGATTTTTTCATTTTCAAAAATTCGAATTCGAAATCTCTAATTAAGAGTGATGATATTTCAACTATTCCAACACAACTCATATCGATAATTGATGAGATAAATGGCATATCATAATGGTAACTTCTGTTATTTGGTGACTTCTCGTTGAGTTAGGTGAAATAACATGCAACATTTATTGCGAAGAAAATGATGGAAATTGTAAACTATTAAGCAAAAAATATTTTTATAAATTAAGCTTGTAATAATTAAAAGATGTATTAATGTATTTTGTTTGGTTTGATTCAATTTAATGAGATTCTTTGTATTGATTCAATATTTTGTAATCAGAGAACCAACTGTTTGATTAGTTTATCAAATATCACGATTTACTACAAAAAAAAATTTATTAAAAATTATACCTAATTAATCTTTGATCATTTTTTTTTTGTAGTTGGAACCTCTAGCAAATTCTCAGACAGACAAATTAATTTCCTCTTTTATAATTTATCAGACAGAATTGAGGTGTATTGCAGTTTTGGAATAAAATACTATAATTTGCAAATATGTAATACATGGAAAATGATATAATACATAAATATGTCATTTAACTTTATTTTTATTAGTATTTATATTCTTCAATTTTAGGTGTATAAGTAAGCACTTAAACTTATATAAAACTAAACAGAATACATATCATACGTGACATAACACACGCAGGATGCCACATAGAACACAAAATTGTCATGTAAGATGATGCGTAGGATGAATATATCTATTTGTCCAATTTTATATAAGTTTAAGTGTCTACTTATGCACACTCAAAGTTGGAGGACATTGGTGCTAGGTTATTTAAGTTAAAGGATATATTTATGAATTATGCCTAAAAATGGGTATTTAGATTTGTCGATCTTACTGAGGGCATCTCCAATCCTACACTCTATTTTACTCTCCAAATATAGAGTTCTCTATTTTTTAAGACAACCAACTTCAACCCAATTCTCTATTTTACTTTCTAAAAATGAATCTTCTTCTCTCTCTCCTCGATATTATATTATTATTTCTATTTCATTTTTGTTTTCTTATTTCATGATATAAATCTTTCTTTTTTTTTCCAAATAATCATCCTATATAATTTACATGTAATATAAAATTTTAATTTTTTGAATTTTTTTATTTAATATTAAATTATATTTTTTTCTAAATCTCTAAAGAACAACTACGAATAATTGAAAAAAGAAATCAACAATCACAATCGCAATCACAATCACAACTTCTCTAAATCATACACTAATTCCTTTTTCGGATATTGTTAAATCTAGAAACGGCTACCGGATTACTAAATTATTATTGAGATTTTTAAAATTATTATGTTATACATTGTATTGTATTGTTATCCTGTATTTAAATTATTATGTTATGTATTGTATATTTAAATTAAAAAATTATCTTATCATTTAAATTTTGTGCATTCTTCATAGTGAAAATTAATAATAACATCAAATTGTATCACAAAGTGACGAAAAAAAAATTATTAATTCGAGATGAAAGTAGTATATATAAAATAAAATATTTTAAAAAAATATTATATTACATTTAAAAAGAATTGCAAATATTAGAAATTTAATTAATTACCTTATATGAAAAATAATATGTTAATTAAAAAATAATATAACTAATAATATAATATTCAAAAAGTGAAATAGAGAGTATGAATAGTAGTTCTCCAAATTTGGAGAACTACTATTCAACTCTCTATAATTGGAGAGTAGAGGGTATAATAGAGAGTGCTTGGAGAGGACATTCTCTATTTTACCCTCCAAATATAGAGTAAAATAGAGTAGGGTTAGAGATGATCTGATAAGTTCTATTTAAATTGACTAGGGAGTTGTTTGATTTATCAAATTGTGTGAATAGCAGTCTTTTACCTTTTACATTGTTTGGACATAGAAGCATTGCTTTGATTTGCTTGAGTTGTGTGGGTCTTCCAGAAATAACCTCTTTACCATAGAGAGATAGTGATAAATATTAATACTACCCTCCTCAAATGTTATTGTTGTTTTTGTTGGACATATAAGTATTGATTATTATTTTTCAAATAAGAATGTCCAAGATGTCCTTAAAAAAACTAGGTGAAGGTGTGAAGCAATATATTCTGCTATTATTGGACTGAAGTTTTTGGCCTTCATGAAATGGTGAAGTATTGTCCATCATTTCATAAAGGCCAAGAACTGAAAATAAACCTATAAACCGAGAATATTATTGAAGTGTCCAAAGATATCAAGGTAGGTCGAAGTCAATTAAACATTATAATTTACCCAAAAAATTTGCCAAGTAATGAAATCTTATCATGTCTTTGTATATAGACATTATAAATATAGCCAACGGAATATTATAATATCATCATTCACTTTTACTTGTTTTGTTATATTAAAAAGGGGAATTTTCACATATCGCCACTCAATAATAGCCTAATTACGCTTCATAGTTATAGTTTGATAATTACGATTCGTAGCTACATGTTATAAGGAGGAGAGTGGAGAGCGAGATTGGGAGAGGGAGGAGAGAGGCGAGCAAGAGAGGGCAGAGAGTGGAGAGAGGTGAATTGTATATGCATATCAGTTAGATAATTGTATATTATACATATGTATTTGTATATCTGGCGAGCGAGATTGGGAGATGGAGGAGAGAGGCGAGCGAGATTGGGAGAGGGAGGAGAGAGGCGAGCAAGAGAGGGCAGAGAGTGGAGAGAGGTGAATTGTATATGCATATCAGTTAGATAATTGTATATTATACATATGTATTTGTATATCTGGCGAGCGAGATTGGGAGATGGAGGAGAGAGGCGAGCGAGATTGGGAGAGGGAGGAGAGAGGCGAGCAAGAGAGGGCAGAGAGTGGAGAGAGGTGAATTGTATATGCATATCAGTTAGATAATTGTATATTATACATATGTATTTGTATATCTGGCGAGCGAGATTGGGAGATGGAGGAGAGAGGCGAGCGAGATTGGGAGAGGGAGGAGAGAGGCGAGCAAGAGAGGGCAGAGAGTGGAGAGAGGTGAATTGTATATGCATATCAGTTAGATAATTGTATATTATACATATGTATTTGTATATCTGGCGAGCGAGATTGGGAGATGGAGGAGAGAGGCGAGCGAGATTGGGAGAGGGAGGAGAGAGGCGAGCGTGAGAGGGCAATAATTTGTATAATTCGCAGGTACGTTTGTATAATTCACATTTTTTTGTATAATTGAGTAATATAAAGTCTGAAATTATACAAATATGATAAAACTCGAAATAACGAATTAATACAAACATAAACATATGAACTTTAAACAATTATACAAAATATATTATACAAATTACATTATATAAATTATATTATACAAAATCCGAAAACTATACGTTTATACAAACTTTAAAAAGTTGTACACAAAAAGATTGAATGTATATGGTGATAAAACTGAAAAACCAAAGGAAATCATCGTCATATACAGATACAAACCATCGTATACATATACAAATCAAACAAAAATTGTTAATTGGGAATTATACAAATGCGGTGAATCATACAAACGTGACTAACTATACAAACTCGAAGTCAGCTGTAATACCCTATATTAAAATAAGGGCATAATTGTCATTTAGCTCCCATTTAAAATAAAAAAAGAAGATCAGAAATTTAAAAAAAAAAAGGGCTGAAAGCCCTAACAGAAGCAGCAGCAACGCTGCTACTTCAGGGATCAAAAGAAGAAAAAAAAAAGGACTCTTCTTGTTCTATAGTGAGCGAACGAACGAGGAGAAACATAAATTTAAATTGAAAGCCTTAGCTCTCAAACTAAAGAGAGAGGTGGAAGAAGAAGAAGAACAAGAAGAAGGTAAGTTTCTTAACTTAGTCTAAAGGTTGAATTTGTATCTTCCATGACTATAAGATTGGGAATTGGGAAGTTGAGAAACATGGGTTTGGAAGAAAAAGAGGAAATTTATTTCGTTCTTATGAACCAAGTGAATATAGTCAATGATTTGAACTATAAACTTTGGTATTGGGCTTATATGCAATAAGAGTAATTGGGCAGTAAGGTTAGGTTGATCTTTTTACAGCGAGAATTGACCAAGAAGAGACTAATGTGTGTGATTAAAGCACTAATTAAGTGATTGGGCAGATTTCGAATCAGTCATGAAACCTCTAGGGCTGGGTTTTTCTTTTTTAAATGTAGTATGAATTACCTAAATGAAGGAGTTAACACGAAATTATTATGAATGTGATTATAGATTGACCAAAGGAATTCGTACGGAGTGATTGAGTGGCAAGCTTGGTAACTCAACACAAGTACAGTGAGTAGTAATCTTACCACAATTGATGTTTTATAACTTGCATGACTTTCACATG